GATTAAGTGTCTGACTTAGGCTCAGGTCATGATCTGAGTCCTGAGATAGAGCCCTGAGTCAGGCTTCCTGTTCAGTGGGGAGTCTGTTTGTCCCTCTGCCCCAGCTCCCTTGTGTGCTTGTGCTCGCTCTATCTCTCCCTCCCTCAAATAAATAAACAAATATTTTTGAAAAGTCAAAATAAAACCTTTTTCAGATATATACAATCTGAAAGAATTTATTTAGCAAATCTTTGCAAGAAGATATGTTAAAGGAAGTACTTCACACAGGAGAATAATACCAGATGAGAAAATCTGGAATTATCCAAGGAAAAATGAAGACCAATGGAATGGTAACTTAATGGGTAAATATAATAGAATTTTAAAATTATTTAACTGTCTTTAAAAGGTAAGCAACTTTAAGACAGAAACTAATAATGTAGATATAAGTCTATGACAATAATAGCACAAAGGAAAGTGAAAGTGTACAGTTGTAAGGTCCTTATACTAAATGTGAAGTGGTGTGCTATCACTTGAAGATAGACTTTGATAAGTCAAACATGTGCAATATAAGCCCTAAAGTGATCAACAAATTAAGAGTTATAGCAAATAAAACAACAAATGAAATAAAGTATAATCATAGAAAATAATCCAAAAGATGGTAATAGGAGAGGGAAAATAAAGAGCTGATGGAATAAGTATAAAATTATAGCAAAATGGTAGATTTAAACTCAACCATATCGACAATCATATAAATTTAAATGGTCTAAATAATTCAAAGAATTACAATCTATGCCAATAACTGAAGTTACTTAGGACATGTAGCTGGAAAATGAGGATACATAAGAGAAGCACAATCATAACCTTCCAATTTACATGTATTTCCTTCAACATGTGTAATGTTAATGTTAATGCTCTTAGAAGTAGGAAAGCTAAAGCAGTATTTATAGATTCACAATCATGGAGCTCTTAGAAGGGTGGATTTCTAGCAGTGTACTGGGTAATTCCCTCTTTTGGCATTTTCAAATCTTAAATCATGACATGTCCCCAGCCATAGTATATTTCACTTATTGTGTATCAGTTGTTGGTCAGAAATGAGAAAGGGCTTTTACTAATTCTCAGTGAACTACTATTTTTATTGTTTCTTCCTTTTTCCTTCCTTCCTCCCTTCTTTCCTTCCTTACACATCCTTCAATTCTTTCCTTTTCTGCTCAGAATGCTGTAAAAGAAAAACCATGGACTGTGTGGCTTACATGACACACATTTATTTCTCACAGTTCTGGAGTATCCTCCAATATTCGTATGTTGAAACCTTAACAGTAAATGGAATAGTACTAGGAGGTGAGAACTCTGGGAAATGATTAGATTTATATGATGTCATGAGGGTAGAGACTCAGTGATAGGATCAGGGCCCTTATAAGGAGGAAAAGAGACAAGAATTCTTTCTCTTGGCCATATAAGATACAATGAGAAGGTGGCTGTCTACAAACCAGGAAGAGAGCCCTCACCAAACATCTACTCTTTGGGTGCCTTGTTCTTAGACTTCCCAGACTTTTCCTAAGGAAAAGAGACAAAACATGCTATGTGAATAATCCCTACTCACAAGGAATTTACAATCTCATGAGCCAAATTTAATAAAATCAAATGAAATAGATTTCAAAGAAGAAAACCAATAGACAGTGAAAATGACTATAACTGTAGACCCATGAATAGCTTCAGGGCTACTTGGGTGTTTAGTGTATAGCATGAACAGAACTATGGGGAAGCCAGGGAAGGCTTCATGGAAGAGGTGGCATTGAGTAAACTGTTTAGATGAGGAAAAAGACCATGGAACAAGGGAAATTAGCATAGAGATCTATTAAAGAGTAAACCATGAGTATACTTACTGCTGGAACAGAGGGTCTAAGTAAGGTGGGAAGCTTTTTTTCTCAGTGGCAATGCAATTCTCTCCCTTCTCTGGGCAACCATCACATTCTTGTGTGAGCTTTTATTAATTTATCCCATTCTGCTTTGAGTCCGTTAATTATACATTTCCTATTTTGTTCATTAAATGCTAACTCTCAGAAAGTGAAGACAATCTGCCCTCCCTCATCACTCTACTCCATTTCTGTAGCCCTTCACACAGAATCTAGCAAATAGTAGGTGTTCAATAAATAATTAAATGGATTTGATGAGAAGCTAGTCAGAGGTGGGTAGGGGAATGGAATAGAGTCACATGCTTGTGCTGATGAGTTTAAATTTGATACTGGACATCACTGGAAGTTCAAAAATGTCACCAATGTGATCAAAATATTATTTTAGGAAGAAGAATTTTTCTGTCATTGCCTAAGAGGTAGAGGTGGAAGATATGGTCATCTTTTTATTGTATAAGGATTGCCTGGACATTTGGGAAGAGCTGTCTCATATAGAATATACACAGTACTGAACTTGAAGCTAATTTTAGTCATTGAAACTTTTGAACAAGTATATTTAGTCTTCTTGAATTTTAAGGGCTGGATCAAAGTACTCTGAGAATCTTGTGGGTGTGAATAAATTTCTTCATAGGGTTTTTTGGTATTGTTGGTTATAAATAGGAGTGATACCCTGCTTTGGAGTGAGATTTTGGCATGTTTTTAAAAATGTGCAAGCATATCAAATTGAAAAAAATTCTGGAGTTTGGAATTCCAGATTTATACTTAAAATTTTTTGGGGGGAAAGATTTATTGTATTTTAAAAGAGTTTTTTTTTGATTGAAATAAAACAGAACTATTTTATCAAACTAATTTCTCCTCTTTCCTGGTCTTAGGATATTTTAGAACATTTGCTGATACAAATATACTTAAATACCTCCATACAGATTCATCTTCAATTCTAAAAGTCCATTCATGTGAATTCTTTGTAATAAATATTTAACATAAGGGTTTTTAAAAAATGATTGAAATTACACAAATCGTAGCTGTTGCTTGGTGATTTCAGTCAAGTTTTTTTTTGTTTGTTTTGTTTTTACTTTTGTCAGTATAGATTTGAATTTATGATCTAAATTTGTTTTGAAAAAATACCTTTAGTGTTAATTTTGATTATAGAAGCATACATACATGCATATATATCTTTGTTTGTATACTGAATGTAGTATATAAAACAAAGTTAAAGATTGCTGTTTGTGAAGGAAAAGCAATGGAGCATCTCTATTAAGAGTGGATTTACTGTACACCTGGGTGGCTCAGTTGGTTGGGTGTCTGCCTTTGGCTCAGGTCATGATGCCAAGGTCCTGGGATGGAGTCCTGCAACTGGGTCCCTGGTCAGAGGGGAGCCTGTTTCTCCCACCCCCACCCCCCCGCCCCCAGCTCCTGAGTGTGCTCTCTCTCTCTGCCTGCCTTTCTGCCTACTTGTGATCTCTCTCTGTCAAATACATAAGTAAAATCTCAAAAATAAATAAATAAATAAATAAATAAAACAAAAAGAGACTGGATTTACTTATCTGGTGGTTTTATCTTTCATACCAAGGGGTAGGGTTAAAATGCTATGACTCAGTCTCTAAATGGACTCAATATCTAAACTAAGGAAGGGTTTGTAAATTTAACATGATGTAAATAATTGGAAAAATGCAAAACAAATTCTATCCTGTATGTACGAATGAAGTGTACCTGCGTCCCTACATATTTGGGATTTATTGTATTTATAAAGAAAGTTGTTTTTGCACAGATAGAAAGCCATGTCATATTTGGAAAGCAGAGAGAATAGTTCTCTACCTTAATTTAAAAACAATGGAAAAAGGTATAGTAGAGTAGCTTGGACATAGTCAAGGGCTCCAAGTACTCTGCTATTCTGAAGGTTTTCAGAAATCAGATTCCTGCTCTCTCAATAAATAGGTATTAAAGAGGCTATGCAAACTCGTACATGATATTCTTTTTCTTGGCTTCAGGATTTTAGTTAATATATTGGCTTTTTGGTTTAATTCCAATGGCACAGCTCATAAATGCAGTGTTTTTCTTCTGGGGTAGGGGGAAAAAATCATAACATAAAAATCTTTGACAGCCTGTCCTATTATAAAATATAACACACTACCTAAAAAAAGAGAAACCCCCCAAAGGTCACGTGAAAAGAAGGCAGTAGCACAAAAAAATTTGGGGACACTTTAAACCATAGTTTGAACCATACATTATTCCTTTAGAAATTCTAGTTACAATAGCATGAATGTGAGAATTAGATGATTTAGACAAAAATTGAATGAACAATGTCAGAGGCAGGGAAGCACTGTTGCCACAAGTATTTGTTCATAGTGATGCTTATTTTCTTAGCCCATGAGATGAAATTTCAGTTTTTTTGTGAGAACTGGCTATTCCGTTCTCTGACTGGGCAGCGGTTGTCTGAATGTTTCTGTATGAATGAAAAGCTCATCTCCCAGGGAATAAAAAAGATAAGGATATTTAGCAATACCCTCTTCTTTTTCTGAATTTTGTAGAACTGGCAGTCATCTGATATATTGAAAATATATACTTTCTCAAAAAGTAAGCCTAGATTGTCTGAATGTATTTTGCACGATAGACCCCTCGGGCAGTTTTATGTTTTGGCACAGCTTGTAGGGCAGAGACTGGACTAGCTTCCTGGTTGCATTAGCATAACCCAGCCCACTTCCAACACACGCCCAGAACTACCTCATTAGCCATTGGGATTGGAGCCAAAAACCTAAGACTACAGTGAATATAAGGGGAATTACTGGCAAAAGAGCTCTAGACCAGCTTAATACTGAACCCATTACTTTTCCAAGCTCAGAAAAATCATACACTAACAGGAACCATTTCCCCATCTTGTTCAGATAACGATTCAAGGTTTTAAATCTATACCTTTTATCTGGAATAATTAGCTTCACCACAATAAGGCATACAGCCTGGCTGCATATACTTAAGTGTTTCTGTTAATCTCTCTCCCTCTCTCTCTCTCTTTTATTGATTTGTTTTCTGGATAGCTTTGACATTGAAAACCACAGACGAATTGGAGCCTGGCATTGAAAGGAGGTGTTCTGCAACAGTTTTTTTTTTTTTTTTTTTTTTGTCTAAAGAAGTTTACTTCTACAAGAGGGAATCTGAAAAATGACAGGGACAAAGAGGAAAAAGAAAGGCATGCTGTGGAGCAAGATGCAAACCCCCCATTGCGAAGACTTTAAACAGTGGTGTCGAAGGCGTCTGCCTATTCTGGAATGGGCACCACACTACAATCTGAAAGAAAACTTGCTTCCAGACACCATGTCTGGAATAATGTTGGCAGTTCAACAGGTGACACAAGGTAATGTACTGCATTTGATTTTCCTGTTTTATGCAGAATAGATGTCACTTCACTTTCTTGGAAGAGTATTGTGACCCAAGAGTTATAATTTGCTAGTGAAATGGATGGTTCATTAACTCTGGGGGAAATAAGCACACGGAATACCTGTACACGAAGGCTTTCCTAGTGGTTTTTTTTTTTTTCCTATTTGAAAGCTATTAAGCACAATCAATTTTTGAATAGCATTAATATGTATTTGCAATGTTAAAATTCATACTATGTAAGAGGAAAAGATTAGTAATTGTAGGAAAGTGAGTTTTTATAGTTTGACCTTACTGATAATAGTTTCGTACTTTCACGGAATCAGGCTATAAAATATCTCCTGGCTTGTACGTAAAGTTTGTAAACCTAATTAGCACCACACAAGGACCTGTTGTAGCCTTTCGGGTTGCTGTAAGCAAGAAACAGAGCTTTCTGTACATAAAGGAGGCTCTTTGCCAAGATTATTATTTGCAAAGAGAATCCTGTATGTCCTTAGAGCTTATGTTTTACTGTGCATGCTGATTTAATTCTGTATTACATTATGTCCCGTATTTATTTCTCAATAAGAAATTTAAACGGTTGAGAAGTCTGAGTTTAACTTTCCCAAAGCAGATTCTAAGTGATATTCTGGATTTAGATATGTGTTTCTCTTGGTGAAAGCTGTAAGTTCAGTGGTATGTACATGTGTGTGTGAGCTTGTGTGTGTGCACATGTTGTTTGCCTTAAAGGTACATTTGTTGTATTATTATTAGTGTTATTATGATTTTTTTCTCAATTCAAGTAATAATTTCCTACCTGTAGCAAGGAAAGAAACCAATTTCTCAGCCTTGAGGATTTGGAACACTTCTCCTTGGCATAGACTCTGTAGATTTATATTTCCTTGTAGTTTTACTGTGTCCCTGGCTTCAACTATTATTCATACTGTTGAATTATAAGCACTCTTTTAACTGAATTATTCTGTAGCTGGAACAAACTGGTTTGTGTATTTGTATTTTTAGTATGATTAGGAACATCTGCACTGGTGGCTTTACTTTAAGATTCATAATACTATCATACTTTATAGGATTCTATTTCCCTGAATAGTCTTATATTACATTTTTAATGACCATTTTGCCAACAGTGAAGCATGGTAATCTTTAATAAAAATGCAAAGTAAATAATAGGTTAGGACATTTTCAGCCTTGTTTTTATTCAATTTTAAATTCAAAATGAGACACTACTATGTGTTTTGAATCTTAGGTGATTGACTTCCAAGGGCTTTTTTACCAGATAGTGTCAGTATATCTTATACATTTATTTTGCTTTAATTTAATGTAGAGTGAAAGAGAAATGTATTTTTAAAACAATTTGTAGTTTCATCTCTATAAAATATCAAGTTAATAGGGAAATTTGGGGATGTGATAATGCCTATGATACACCCTTAGCAGTAGTATTTATGTATAAGTCCTTGGCAATTAATTGTATGGCTTTCATTTGGATGTCGATTTTTGGGGGATTTTGTTTTATGAGTCATATATTTCATTGGTCACAAAGAAACACACTGGCCAGTGCCTGACTGTGGAGAAGCACAAAGCTTATTCAGCTCTGTACATTGAAGTTATGGATCTGGCTGCTGGTTCTCTTGGAAAGCTACCAGTGACTGCTCAAGGCTACACTGCTAGAAAGATCTTTAGGGTTTTTCTTGATACATGAAAAGACTAATCCTCCTAAAAGTACCTACTCTTTTAAAGACAATTCAAACTTTCTCAGGCTTATGCACTATGGGGAAATAAAAAGTGAAATATAAATAAATTACCGTTGTCAGGGGCCCTGTGCTAAACCCCCCTATACATTATCTTCCCCTTTCCTAACAAAATCCCAAGAGACAACAGTCTCTTCTCTATTTTCCACATGAGAAAATGGAGGCTTAGAAAAGCAAGTAATTTTCTTTGGACCTCACACCTGATAGGTGGTAGAGTTAGGACTTGATTCCAAAGCCAACACTTTCAACATCTTATACTTTATGCACTACACTGCCAAGATAACTAGACTTTTTCATTATACCAATGTTATTAGTAATAGAAGCTATTTCTTGGGATAGGTATGAATATCCTTCCCTTCAAATTACTTTTGCATTTAAGTTTCATCCCTGAAATTTTTAGACTTGAAGGTGAGTGATGAGGGAAATAACTACCATAGAATATAGAGTAAGAACAGCATTTAGATATCATTAGCTTCTATTTATGTGAATATAAGCAATCATTATCAGCTCTATTTCTTTGGGAAAATCAGAAGAAAGGGGTAATTTTTGCTCTTGCATCATAACACAATAGAAACAAATACCTGTTTTCACTCTACTGAGCTTTGAAGCAGCTTTTCAGTTACTCAGCATAGTTGAATTATATGAAAGTTTTGATTTTAACACTTTTTATCTACAAATATGGAAAGTTATATGGTTCAATCCAGTAGTTTTTCATTCTTCCCTCTCTATAAATGCATTTAAAATTGAGAAGAATGATAGAAACTAACCTGTGAATGTATTCTATAGGTCAGATATTTTAAATTATGTATTTTAAATCACTTTATCAAAGATTTCCCAATTGTTACATATAGATGATTGTCAGTTATCATCATATTTAACTCATGTAAAGCATTTTCTGTATTGACTATACTCTTTCTAAAACTTTCTTGTCTTGGTTTTGAGACATTGCTCTTTCATTTTTCTGCTCCTACCCCTCTGTCCCTCTCTTCCTGTGAGTCTCTGCAGATTTTGACCCTATCCTATCCACCCATTAAACGTCTGTGTCCCGGAGACTCAACCTTTGGCCTTCTTCTCCAAGAATGTTGGAGGCCATTTAATCAGCGCAAGAGGTTTTAACTACCATCATCTTTCAAATGAAACTTTCTTATAAACCTGAGATCTGCATATTCAGTTGTGCAAACCTGGAGTCTTCTTCTTCTTCTTTTCCAGTTAGCCAACATATAGTATAGTACATCATTAGTTTTTGATGTAGTGTTCAAGGATTCATTAGTTGCGTATAACACAACACATGCCCTTCTAAAAGCGCTTCAAATGCAGCGTTTAGTCTTTGAAAACAAACTGAATAACACCACCATCCTAACCAGAATTATAATAACCAATAATAATAGCAGTAATTTTTAGGCACAAATGTAAACACTATTGTAAGAATATTTGACATTATATACAAGGCTGAGGTTCAGAGAGAATAAGTCACTTGCTTAAAGTCACACAGCAAAAGAGTTAGGATTTGCACTCAAGTAGTCAGGCTCCAGGAACTAGGATCTCATCTTAGACTTAGACTAGACTGCATCTCACAACAGGGCCCAAGAACCGTTTCCAAATCTTTCCTGTCTTTTGCCACTTAGCCACTAGCACACATTCAGCCCCTAGGTTCTGTTATTTCCAGTCTCCGATTATCTTTCCAACGGGGTAGTCTTCCTCATGCCTCCTGCTGAGGCCTAGTTCACTGTCTGAACCATTGCAGTCATCATTCTGTGGGCCTTCCTTCTCCCTTGTCTCCTCCTGTAGGCCATATTCTGTATTGCAGTCAGAATGATCATAAAAATCTGAACACAGCACTTCTCTGTTCAAAAACCTTCAATCCTCTCTTTCTTCTAGAATAAAAGTCCAGTTCTTCTGAATAATTTATTAGATCATTAATAATCTGGGCCCCTTGATGCTAAAATCTACTCAAAGAGATCTCTCCTCTGAGAATCCCTCTTAGTCTCCTGGGAAGATGCATGTTTTCTTCCCTCCTACTCCCTCTGTACTTTTTAGGTATCTCTATGATAGGCCTTAACAGATTGTATTATAATATTTCGATACAGCCTTTTCCACACGGTCTGTAGGCTCTGGAAACAAAGATAATGTTTTAATCTTCCTGTTATTACCAACTTGTATATTTCCTGTTACATAGAGTAGGTTTTCAATAAATATCTGTTGGAAGTATACAAAACAATTTAGCTCCTGCTGCCTCTGATTGTTCCATAGTAGCACGTTACCACTTGAGGGAGGAAATTAATGTTCTTAGATTTTCAGAATATATGCAACAGAAATACTACTAGTAAAAAGTACATTACAAATATGAGTAATTAATTTCTTCCAATTCCTCTTACTTTGCTGAGGTTACAGATGTGCAGCCCTCCAGACAAATATGGTAAAAGATAGATTTCCTTTGTCCCCAAAAGTGCTAATATTTTCTCCAGCCAACATCAACAAATATGAAGAGTTCATATATAAATCCAGATTCCTGGCTTCTTTTGAAAAGGGGGAAAACATGGGGGTGCCTGGGCAGCTCAGTGCATTAAAGCCTCTGCTTTTGGCTCAGGTTATGATTTCAGGGTCCTGGGATCAAGCCCCACATCGGGCTCTCTGCTCAGCGGGGAGCCTCCTTCCCCTTCTCTCTACCTGCCTCTCTGCCTGTGATCTCTCTCCTTGTCAAATAAATAAATTAAAAAAAAAATCTTTAAAAAAATTTTTTTAGAAGGGGGAAAACACGGCCATACAGGGCCCACATTCCCATTTGGCAAAAATCTTTTGGACTTCAGAGAGGGGGCACCTTTTAGACAGGGCACACACTTTGCATTTTGCCACACTCTTCATTACTCACTTGTGCCAAGCCACCCTTCCTGCTAGTTTATCTGCCCAGGCCCATGAATGTCTGAACTCATCCCTAAACAAAACATTTACAGAGAGATTACATAAGATTAGGTTCTTAACTTAGATCCACAGAACTCTTAGATCTACGTACCTGGATTAATGTATTCCAGTAGACTTTATTTCTTTCTAATCCTTAGTATTCTCTGTTAATTATTTTTTAAGAGTTTTCTGGGAAGGTGTCCACAGGCTCTGCCAGACTGCTAAAAGGGGAGCTTGCACCTCCTCAAAGTAAATAAATAAAAGTATGGGTGTCCTCATTGCAAAGGAAGAGAAACCTTAGACCCTCTTTCAGCATGTTCAAGTATTTCTTAGAAACAAT